CCATCCCCTTCGATGAGGAGGTGAGCCATGTCAGCAAGCCCCACTTCTTCTGAGGGTGCTGCACGCTCAACCTATGCATTCTTTAAGGATACAGTTATGTTTACAGTAGTGGTTTCTAGTAACTTATTAGGTCTCTGAGGGCAAAATTCGTATTTATTAGAAAAGAATAGGTTAATAAGTAGTTACCCTTTCTGCCTTCTCAGTTGGCATGTTGCTTGTCAGATTGAGAGACCCCAGAAAGAGTGGAGAGGCGGGCAACACCAGGAGCAAAATGCTGGAGACTTTGAGGGGCAGATGAGACATGATCAGAAACTCCCGCAGCAAATCTCTTGCAGAGGGAGAGGAAATGTCCACAGGTGAATTGCAGTGGGGGTTTTCCACCTCCATCCTTCTCGGCAATGGTTGAATCTACTGGGTTTGAGGGCTGTGCTCTATCTGCAGGGAAGGATGAAGGGGAGGCTGTAGAAAAAGGTGAGGGAAAGGGTAATTTGTGGAAAGTACAAGCAGCAAAACAGAGAATTAGTTACTCCCTAACACCTGGAGCTTTCATCCCCTTCTGCAGTGGGCTCCAGCACGGCAGGGTTGGATATGCCTAACGGGTGGCTCTTTGCTGCAGGTGTACTCCAGCTCGGCTCCCCTGCGGGTCGGGTACTACGACACAGACGGCTACTTCCCCCTGCCCCCTTGCATGCGGCGGGTGGTGCGGGAAACCGGGGGGGCTCTGCAGGCAGCCGGGCACCAGGTGAGCACAGCCACCCCCCGATTCTCCCCAGCTTTGCTCCTCTCTGCTGAAATCACCCTTCAGACACCAGATGTAGCTCCCAAGCCCGGCTGTGGGATAAATGACCTACCAGAGGTATGATATTGAGTTACTACAGCCACATAACGCAGTGCAGACATGCACGTCTACTCGGGGTAGCAGCGTATCTCATGGGGAAACAGCTACAGCAATTAGCAAACTTGTACCTGCAAGGTCAATTCTGCTGGGACAGGCAGGAACCTGGAGCAGTTTCTGGCTCAGTAACTGCCTGGAGCAGGATGGAGGAGGAACCAGCTCTGGAGAGATCTCAGAGCTGAGACAAACAGCCATCAGGAAGGAATAACCCCACAGGGAGATGCCTGGGCTGGTAAAGGGTTGAGCCAGGGCCTCTGTTGGTGTGTGGAGCCAAGGGAGGTACTGCTTGGCATCTGAAGTATATCCACAGCAGGGCCTTGGGAATTATTCACATTCCCAGGCTGCCACGTAATCTTGTGTTTTGGTGCAGCTGGTGCCTTTTTCTCCACCTCGGATCCACTACGTCATGACTGAACTGTTTTTGAAGGCGTTTTTTGCTGATGGAGGCGGTGCTTGGTTGGACCTGTTGTAAGTAGGAGCCCTCGGGCAGGAGTGCTGTAGAACATCTCCAGCCTCACGCCCGTGAGCACAATGCACAGGCAAAACAAGCCCATCTCTCCCACCCCAAACAGGAGATACTCGGGTTTCTGAGAAAAGGCAAACAGCTTCTCTGGCATGATCCCCTCCTCTTGCCTTCTCTCAGCACAGGAGGTATTGTAGATCCCAGCCTGAAATCACAGGTGAATTGCTGCAAGATCCCGAGGTTGGGAAAGAAGCTGCTGGCTCTGATTCTTAAACCTCTGGTGAGTCCCTGGCCTCAGGCTCAAAGCAGAGCAGTGTCAGCAAGGCCTTGAGGTGCTTGAAAACGTGATGGTACTGAGAGACACTTGTAACTAGAAACAGTGGGATTTCAGGCCAAGGCACGCGCTATCGCTTTGGAAGGTCTTTTCTAGACCCCTGCTGAGATTTATCCAGTGCAAAGGGAAATGAGAGAAAGACCAGCCAAGAGCTGTAAAAGATTAATGCAGAGCCCACAGCAAGTGTTTTTTTCAAATGCTAGACCTGGCAGTCCCAGTTTCCTCAGATTCAGGCACTGGGATTACTGCAGCAGAGGGACTCGAGGTTGAAGCTGTGTCCCTGTGTTGGAGGCCTCCCAGAGACTGCACCTTCATGGGGACTCCTGGTGATTAGTAAGGTCTGGCCCTCACTGTAGCCCTTTCACCTGCTGAGCATCCTTTTGTAGGGCTTCTCCATCCTCCATTTGCTCTGCCTCTCTGTCCAGTTGGCTTGTTCCCAGCTGATGGGATCAACAAGGTAGCGGTGAGTGGGAGGCAATCAAACTGCTTGTAGAGGTCTTGTTTCTGTGAAAAACCAAGCTAAAAACCAATTGATTTATCAAAAATAGTGGAAAGCAACTTGATTCAAGACAGTGCATTCCTCTCTGAGCAGGAAATGTTGAGCTGTAAGAAACAAATTGGGAGCCAACAACCAGAAGTTAGAAGCAAAGTAAATTAAGAACTATGAGGGGTATTTTTAATAATCATCACTCACCCTGGGTGCCGCATCCCTAGGGACAGGGGCAGGCCAGGACCAGGGCTTTCCCAGGAAAAGTTACTGCACTCTCATGTCATGTCCCTAAGAGGAACCTCTTGCCTTTCCAGTTTCCCCGCCTGGCTGACTATCTGAGCGCCCTGGGGGGATTGAGGTAAGATGGCATTGCCCCCAGAGATGTCCAGGAAAATGAACGGTATGTCTGAGTGTCTACGGGGGTAGGGACACACGCACAATGACTGGATTCATGACAGGCTCAGACCTGCTCTCTGCAGAGACTGTCACTCCATCCTGGACATGGCTTCAGCCTTCAGGAACACATCTCCCCAGTGTTGCACTGGCCCTGGTGTTCTCCTGAAAGGATTGGGGGACCTGGATGGATAAGGTTGTACAGGAAGCCTGTGGCAGATTACTAAATCCAGGCTCATGAGAGAAACCTTCCCTCTACCACTTCCAGAGATTCATTACTTAATTGCTTGGCCTACTGCTGAAGGAAACTTTAGCAATTACTTGATAGATCTTTCACAATTTGTCTAAAATCACAGGCCCTTATCAACCTGGAGGATTAAATGTTGCTGTGATGTCCCCCTGCAGGTCAGTGAAGGAGATGTGGAATCATCACCATGAAATAGAGGTATGTTTTGAGGACCTTTCTCTCTGGCATCATGCTACAAGCTGAGGCTTTATGGCAAGTGCCAGTTCAGAGGGTCATCAGTTAGGAAAGGGGGTGTGCAGGGGGGTGTTGGGGAGGAGACCAGATGGAGGGAAATGCACCAAAAAAAAAAGGAATGGGGTGGAAGGGCTTTTGGGTCAACACAGCCAGGACTTTTATTGGTGGTCCACAGTGCTCATGCCCAAATGCCTGCAGTCCCAGGAGAACAAAGGCTGTTCTGGGAGTGGGGATGGCTAAGGAGCGACCTTCCCAATTCCTGGCCACATGCTATGAAGGCAGACACTTCCATGCTCCCCTGCCTCTTCCCTCGAGCACAGCTGCCTGTTGCTGCCTCCTTGGCCATGCCAGAGCCTGCTGTGCACCCTGGAGAAGCCGAGATGCTCCAGGTGTGGATGTGGCCTCCATGTCACCTTCCCTCTCCTCCCCAAGGCGTACTGCACCGAGTTCATCGCCCGGTGGAGGGAACTCCAGCTGGATGTTGTGCTGTGCCCTGTCCTGGGGCCTGCTTTCACCCCGGGATATGCTGGAAAACTCCTCAGTAAGTGAGCCTGGGACCTTCCGGGAGGGCAGAGACCACAGTAGCTCCGACTGGACAGAAGGCATCCACTACCACCGAGCTTCACCGCCCAACTAAGCATTTTATGGCCATTAGGAAGGAAAAACGATGGTTTTTTATGGAAAAACCATAGAGCTACCTGAGCAGATGGAGACAGGCACGTGGATGAAGCGATCTGATGGCAGTTGTTTCTTGCAGTAGAACTGGGACATGCAGATGACCAGCCCTGTGCAATCTCTCCTCCCAGCAGCAGCTGGTTCTGTAGTGTGTAAGTCTGAAGGGAGGCAGGAGCCTGTGACTACCTGCATTCTCTCTCCTGCTTCCCTCAGCCGCCATCTCCTCCACGATGCTGTACAACGTCTTGAACTTCCCTGCTGGGGTTGTACCCGTCAGCACGGTGACAGAAGCGGATGAGGAAGAGCTGAAGCTTTACCGAGGATGCTGTGATGACCCCTGGGACCAGATGCTGAAACAGGTATGTGACCTGGCAAGCGGTGGAGCAAAGACTGCTGATGGATGTTCTCATTTCACTGAAATTGGGGGCTCCTAAGTGTCTCCACCAATGCAGGCACAGGGCAAACACCCCACCCCCCATCCCCCCCTTCTCTATACATCTCTTGCAAATCCCTTTTCTCCCAAGCCCCCAAAAACATGTCACTAAGGGCTGGGTAGGGACTGGGGGAGCCCCCCCCAGGCTGGATGAAAGGCAGAAACCAGGAAGGAGCCATGCAGCAAGGCTTCTTCGAGCGGGTCCTTGCGACAGTACCTGCCCAGGGCACTGCGCTGCACATCCCTCCTGCTCCGTGAGCCCTTCACCAGGCCCAGGCCGGCAGCAGAGCATGGATCAGGAATGAGCATGGTGCAGGAAAAGGGATCTGGCTGTAAGACAGCTCAAAGCAGAGATGTCTGCAGGGCAGGGGGTCTTCAGCCACCCAAGATTTGGCAACCATTTCTTTCATGAGAACAGCAAGAACTTTCCCTCTGTCCCAGCGTGCCAATGCTGCTTGAAAGGCAGGGCTCAGCCTCCAACCTCCCCGCTCTCTGGGATGAGCCGTGCACCTCAACCAAGTTTCCAAAAGCTGCTGGAGGTCCGAGATCCCCCGGTACCCTCTCACCGCTTCTGCCCCCACTGCGGGCTGTGGCGGGAGCCGTGGGGCTGCCGGTGGCTGTGCAGTGCGTGGCCTTGCCGTGGCAGGAGGAGTTGTGCCTCCGGTTCATGAAGGAGGTGGAGACCCTCAGCCGTGAGAAGAGCACAGCATAGCCGCCCCAGTCCCACACCGGCAGGGGCAGAGGCGAAAGGGACAGTGCTGCACAACTTCTCTATTGCCATTAGAAGCACAAAGATCATGGCGAGGAGGGAAGGAGGGAGGAAGGAAAAGCCGTCTCCTTACCCTCCTCCTTGCCAATAAGCACAGATCCTGTAAGGAGCCAAGGTGCCATGAAGGACTGTCTTAAGCAGGATTCAAATGATGATAAATCCATTAACTGCACCTTCCTGGAAGGATGGACATGGATGGGGGCTCGCACTCACCTCCACCTATGCTGCTGCTTGCAGAAGCATGGCAGTGCCAAGAGAAAAGGACTACAAAAACCCAACGGTATTTTCTTGCTGGCACTGGAGTAACCTCACATGGATGTAACTACAGGCTGCCTAGTCAGGATACAGCCATGTCTATACTCCCCATCACTAACTTCCTCACAAAAATAAAAATGTAGCTGTTAAGCAACTCTTACCATGGACTCCAGTAATCCTTCACTGATGGCTGCGATTGCATGATTTTGGGCGATAACTGCATTCATATAAACACCTTCCCAGTGGGCATTAAACACTGGGAGTGTTCTCACCTTCCTTCTCAACCACAGGCTTTCCTGTCCGTGAGGGATGGCAAGAGTCACTGGCCTTTCCACAGCACCAGGCTCTTTCTACCACCAGACCTCAAGCATCCCAAGCACAATTCCAACCCCACAGCAGGGGCATTCTTAGGAACTTGTTATTTCAGGACCTCAGGGTGCTTTTTCTGAAGGCGGGAGATAAGCAGAGACAGACACAACCCAGTAATGCAGATGGTGAGACCTGGGACAGAAAGGCTGAGATGCCCAGATGGTGCTTGTTCACCCAAACCTGCTCAAGTAGGATCAAAGCAGAGAGCAGCATCCACACAGGGTAATTTAACCCACCCTGAGATGGGTGGATAAATTGCTCCCTCTGAAAAGACCTTTCTCTCTTTCCCAGATTAAACACCTTAGTCTCAAACAGATAAATATTCAGGAGAGTCCACAGCAGCTTTCTCATTTATTCTCTCTCTCTGCAGTAAAAAAGCAGACTTCATTGGGACATTTTAAAACAAAAATAAATATAGACCAGTTTTCTTGCCCTGGAAATTCGGGGTGTTTCCTGATAACCAGCAGACACAGTCTGTCACCCCTTCTACATCCGACTTAATTTGCAGAAATACATAGGCCCAAAGTTGGCCGTGAGGTGAGGCAGAACAAGCTCCCCCAGCCGACAATCCGAGAAGAAGGAAAACGTGTCCTGGAAGAGTGTCCGAAAGTGGCTCAAGTCCTCAACGTGAATACTGATGTCAAACTGGGTTTCTGCAATTTCTACCGCTCTCTCGATCACGTGCTCGTTCTGCAGAGGGGAGAGGGAGCAGGTAGAATACACCACCTTTCCTCCTGGCCTGGTAGCGAGGATCCCAGCCCTGCAGGCAAGATGAACACACGCACCGTCACAGGAAAAAAGAGGATGGTGTGGGATACCAGCATTCCCACCCACCGAAACTGGGAAGCCAGCACGTAACTCGTAGGAGGTGAGAGACAAATCTCTTTGAACTCCACAGGCTCAGCAGTCTCGCTCTGTCACTGCAGCCTGAGGACGGGCTTAGACCAGGGCAATGTGTCAAATTAGACTGATAAAGCACTTCACGTGGGAGAGGTGCTACTGGAGAGCAGCTGGAAGGAGGAATCCTGCACGCGCCTCCAAGGGAATGGGGTAAGAGTACGTGCAAGGGAAGAGGCTCTCACAGCTTAAGCACTGCCACGGGACTCTGATCTGTTTTCTTATTGCCCCAGCTCACAGTCAGCCCGTCCAGCCTTCCCACTGAAATGGGGTGATGAAGCACCCCCATGTCCTCCCGTGTGCTGGGAGATGTGGACACTCAGAAATGTTCCAGGGCTGCCTGCCAGGGGATCACCACACAAAAGGACAGTACTACACCCACCCCGTTCCTCACACCCTCCTCCCTCCTTCCTGTGGCTACCGCTGGGGAGAGGAAAGCCGTTTGATCTGACTGAGAACATCTGCACCTTCTTAGACCTGCTATGACTCGATGTGTTCAACTACTGCCACTCCAGAAAACTACCCACGGTTTCCACACCCCCCAGAGGGACACAAACAGCACCAAAACCCGGCCCTGAGCTCACTCACATCAGCAGCTGCAGCTGCAGCATGGGCAACATCTGACGCTCCTTGGTTCGCCTCTTGTGGAAGATGTTGTTGTCCTCCTCCGTGACAGAGTGCCTGTCCGTCGTGCAGGGCACATCGACCAGGACCTGCAGCAGTAGTGGTCCTGCATCAGGCCCGGGCCCAGCCCGAGCTCAGCCAGTCTCACAGGACAACCTGCCCCTTCCCCAACTCCTCCAGCCTTGCCACACACTCCTCTGGCTCGTTTTGCGTGTCGGGAATGTGCAAACAGACGCAGAAATGGTGGGTGACATCACACCCTCACACGTGGCCTCATATAAAGTCCCTACTCCGTGCGTTTTCCTGGCAGGCGTTACTGCAGCCCCTATGGCTGCAACCACGGGCAGCCAGAGCTCCTGCAGCAACGCCTCCCGGAGCGACTAACCCAGCTCCTGCGGCTGGAACTGGCTGAGGAGCAGGAATTATCCAATCTTTGCATTTAACCCCTCCCAGAAGATGAATTACAACAGGATCTTTTAAGGGCTAAGACACAGACGGCCAAAGGTACATCTCCGGACACCCACACACACCAGATCCTGGAGGAAGGGTAGAGCAAGAGGAAATATTGCTCCCTTTGTGGCTTAGTCTCCTCTCTTTCTCTGCCTTTAAGATTGTGGAAAACTATACAATTACACTGTTGGATAAGCTGCTGTCTTCCTCTGAAATGTCACCTAGATGGGTTTATCTTCACCAGTTCCCAATCACCTACCTTATGGAAAGTGCTACCTTCCAGCTGCTCCCAGTCCCTTCCGTCGTGGGATGTGACACTCACAGTTTCCCTGATTTCCTTGGGAACATAGCTATGGAGAATCTGGTGCAGCCTCTTTGTCCGGGAAATGGAGACATCGTTGGCTGCCAGATGCCCTGTGAGGACAAAACAGGTACACTGGGAATGTCACTCCTGCAAAACCAGACCCCATTCCCAACTCTTACACCCTGAAGTGATTAACGGTCAGACGTTAATGGGCACAGCACACGGGGACAAGGAACACCCACCTCCACTTACCGCAAACCCCAGTCTGCAGCAGAGCCAGCGTCTTGCCACCCGGAGCCGCGCAGAGGTCGAGGACCAAGTCACTCGGCTGGACGTTGAGCGCCAGGACGGGCAGGAGAGATGCCGCATCCATGAGGTAATAGTCCAGGAGCCCCAGAGCGTCCGGCCTGGAAATCACAGAACAAGCAAACGTGCAAGGGGACAAGAAAAGGGGTTGGAAGTGAGGGTGGGGGCTCACACACGTGCAGCCCGAGCAGCCGGCAGCGACAGCGGGCGGCCGGTCCCAGGGATGTCTCACCGTGCAGGGCGAAAGCGCGCGATGTCGCCCCGGGGGAAGGTGTAACACTTGATGTTGGAGCTGACGGAGGCACGCGGCAGCGGTGACATCT